AAATTAAAAAAATTTTAATTTATCCTAAACAAAGTTGTAAAATAAACAAGTAACTAAAATCCATCCACCATAATAAATCTTCGTTCTTGATTTTCCCACGGTTCTTCCAGCCCTTGCCCCTGAGCAGACATCATTTGTTTATTTGCACATTTTAATGTTTTATTTTATTGAAATATAACACATGCACAGCATTAAGTCAAATAACCCTGAGACGCTATTTTTGCAATAGCAAAAAACCACTTATCTTTCCTGGTTTCATTCCCCAGAGGCAGCCACTTAGTATTACTTAGCGATTCGTCCAGCAGACACCTCCTGTCTCCAGTGTGGACGTACTGCTCTTTCTTGGTGGATCAGTTTTAGACACGATCCACTTATTTTTGCTGTGATAATGAGGAATAGGTTCTTACACTACCTATTCGCTTCTCTGTGTTTCCGTGTTCTCAGTGTGGCAGTATCACACGTTTTGGTTAAGTCAGCAAACCGAGTTTACGTTACTGCGATGTAAATATTGTTCACTGCAGGGCCGAGACCCGTGCTGTGATTACATCCCCCTTTTCTACGCTCTTGTACTTTTCCTGGATCTTTTTTTTCTTGAACATCTTTTTTTTTTTTTTTTTGGTATTGCCTTACTTTATCATATCTGCAGGGTTTTTCCCCTCAAATGTTCCACTGTATCGGGCATTCTCCTGAGTTCCCACGGGGAGCCTGGCTCCCGTCAGTCTCAGCCAGCTGCCCTCTGGGCCCCTGTGGAGCACTCGTTCTGTGCCTTCCCTCGCATGCTCTCCGGATTGCAGCCACTGTTTCCTGGAAACTTCCATCTGCAGATAACAGGGAAACCGCCGAGGAGGCTTCAACTCTAAGAATATTTCTTAGCTCAATCAACTGGGAGCCCAGAGATAGGGTTGGCTTCAGGCTGGGATTGATCTAGTATCTCAGGCCTTGTGAGTAGCTTCACGGGCTTTCCCTTTGGTTTGGGTTTATCGCTAGGGCGACTCCTCTCATAGTGGTGAAATGTTCAAGACAGCTGAAGACTTCACTTGGCATTCCATCCGTCTGGAGAAGGAGAGGGGCCTCTCTTCTGGGCTCTCTCTTGGAGTAAGGAAACTTCTTTTCCAGAAAGCACCTAGCGTATCACCTTGTATTTCATTGGCCAGATCATCTCAGCATCCGTTCCTGAACCAGTCCCTGTGGCTAGGGGTTGCGCTGCGATTTGATTGACTGACTTCCCAGAGTCTCTGAACCAACACTGTGGTGGGGGAAGAGGAATTCGGGGCCTGCGGACGTGGAAGTGAGTTGAGGTTCCCTGAGGCACAGCAGGCTGTGCGAGGAAGGCTGGATCCTGAACACAGCTGGGAGAGAAGAGAATCAATGCTGCGAAGTACCCACAGCGTCTCCAGCTCTCACTTCCTCATTTTGCTGTAGCTATCTAAGAAAGGGCACGTGGGAGGTAAATTTTCTGAATTCTGGTGTGTCTAAAATGTCTTTATTCTGTACTAACACTTAATTGATATTTGGTTGGGAATAGATTTCCAAGTTGGAAATAATTTTCACTTAACATTTTGAAGTCATAGTTTTTATCTCCTAGCAGCCAGTGGAGCTGCTAAATTCCGTTTTTTGCCAGGCTAGAGTACAGTGGCTTGCTCATAGCTCACTGCTGCAGCCTCAAACTCCTGGGCTCAAGCGCTCCTCCTGCCTCAGCTTCCCGAGAAGCTGGGACTACAGGCATGCGCCACCACACCTGGCTAACTTTTAAAACTTTTTGTGGAGTCGGAGTCTTGCTAAGTTGCTCAAGCTGGTCTGGAACTCCTGGTGTCAAGGAGTTGGGCCCGGCCTCCCAAGGAGAGAGGATTACAGGTGTGTGGCCAGCCTCTATCGCCTCTTAACCTCTCCTTCCTATTATTCATTTATTTCCCTTTGTTGCACTCTGTTTAATTTCTTCAGATCCATCTTCCAGAAGCTGGAATCCAGAGTGCTGATTTTTCTCTCTAGCTGTGTTTAATATCCTATTTGATTCTTCCATTGAGTTTTTCTTTTCAGTGATTGAATTGTTTTATTTCTAGAAGTTCCGTTTGGTTCTTTTTTTCAAATCTGCCTTAGCGTTTTTGGTAGTCTGTGCTTTTAGTTTTATCCAGATTTAAAATACATGAAGTGTGAAATATGCTAATCCTAAGTATATTGCAGCTTGGTACGTTTTTACACAGGTACATGTCATAACCATGTCATCACCGCCCAAATCAAGGTGTAGAACATTTCCGTCACCCCAGAACATTCCCCTGTGCCCCTTCCCAGTCAGCCTCTGATGGACTTTTGAGCTGTTTCTAGAATTTGGCTATTATGAGTAAAACTGTTATGAGCATTCGCGTACATACATGTCGGTTGATGGTCATTTGTACTCATTTCTCTATCAGTGGAGTTGCTGAGTCAGGGAATAGCATTTGTGTATTTTTTTTTTTTTTTTTTTGACATAGTGTCTCGCTCTGTTGTCCGGTCTAGAGTGCAGTGGCGTCATCATAGCTCGCAGCAACCTCAAACTCCTGGGCTCAAACAATCCTCCTGCCTCAGCCTCCCAGGTAGCTGGGACTCAGGTGCATGCCATGATGCCCGGCTAATTTTTTTGTTTTTAGTAGAGACGAGGTCTCGCTCTTGCTCAGGCTGGTCTCGAACTCCTGAGTTCGAACGATCCTCCCACCTTGACCTCCCAGAGTGCTAGGATGACAGGCGTGAGTCGTTACTCTTTTTGATGCACAAATTATCCCAAATTTGACCGGATAAAGTTCCTTCAAGTTGCCTCTTAACGTCCCTTCGATGTGTCCCCATCCTTGTTTGAGCACTTTTTACTCTGGCACGAGATGTTCCCAGTCTGTCTTTGCTTTTGTTTTAAACTGAGAACAGTTTACATACAGTACAGCATACAGATCTTAAGTATATGGTTAAAAGATTTTGGACAAATGTATAAATTTATCTACAATAACTCACACCCCTAACAAAGAGATAGCAAATTTTAAACACCGTAGAAACCTCTATTTTTAAACACCCTTTTTCATATATGCCCCCCATCATACCTGTCCAGCTAGTATTCTGATTTTTAGCACTAAAGATTAGTTTTGTCTGTTATGGAAATTCATATAGATGCATTCATATAGTGTGTACTGTTTTGTGGCTGACTTTTTGCCGAGCATGGCTTTTTTTTCTTTTAATCCATGTTGTTGCATGTCTCCTTTTTCTTGCGGAAAGGGAACCCGTTGCATGAGTATACCACAATTCGTTTATCCATTTAACTGTTGATAGACACTAGCTTGTGCTGTGAACATTCTTGTGGAGTTCATTTTGTGGACATATGTTTCCATTTCTCTTTAGTAAATTCCAAAGAGTGGAATTTCTGGGTCGTAGGGCAAAGTGTATGTTTAACTTTATAAGAAACTGCTGAACTGTTTC